TAATTAATTTATAAATAAAATCTTATTATTAATATATTTATGATCTCTTTATTGAGTAAAAAATTGTTGATTGAATTATGTATCAATTTGGACTTACTTGTTTTTGGGAGAAAAGTTGTTCCACCATTAACAACTTTAAAAGATAAGATGTTCGAGATAAATAGTGTAAAAGAGTAATTTTTTATTATTTTAAAAATTAAGTTAAAAGTTAAAAGTAATAATTAAGATATATATATATATATATATATATATATATATATATATATATTATTGACTTAATAGACTAAAATAACATTTTAAAGAAATTATAAGATTAAAAAACTAATTTTAAATTTAAAAAATCAAAAATAAATTTACTTTAAATTTGTCAAACTAAAAATATATATTTAAATCTTTTTATTTCTTAGTTTTATGACTTTATATCAAGTATTTTATTTATAATATCAACATCAATAAATCATTAGTTGAAGTAAAATTAAAATAAAATTTATAAATTTGAGTTTTATAAATAAAAAAATATATAATGAAAACAAGAAATTTCGTTAAAGATGATTAACAAGAACTAATAAATATTTCTAGACATAATATATATCGAGAGAAAAGAGTATATAACTCTTTGTCAACGTTTACTAACATTCGACGTCTATCCATTAACTTGTTAACTATGAAAAGCACTGAGTAAAAAAAAATAATTAAAATGGTAGACTTACGTTAGTAAGTTGGCTTGTCCATATGCGTACTTAAATTTTTTGTCCTTTCCGTGTCTTACAGGTAAGATTGCATGAAAATTTCGCCTGATCGCATAAACCTGTTCACGATAATGATAATCCAACATGTCCAATATGCAATTATCAAAAAGGCTAAGGTTTAATGCATGTGTCTAACTTTGTGCAACTAAAATGCTCTAACTCTTGTACAAATATCGTATAAGCAACATTTTTTTTATATAAAAGTTTAATGATAATGTATTGTCTATGATTATGTAACATGTTTTACACCGTAACTAATAAAAAATTATCATATAAATAATTCTTTAATGTTTTATACTGTTAATTAATAAATTAATTAACATATAAAAAGTCATAAACTTAACATACAAGATAATTTGTAATTAGATGATAATTATTTTACATTATTATATTTTATTTGGTTTTATTATAATACTCATTCTCTCTCTCTCTCTTTACTTATTAGAGCAAAACTGTCCTTAATTATTCTTGTATACCAAGTGAATAAGTGTGATGACATCATTAGCATGTTACCATCTTTTAATTACTATGATTAATGCCGATATTTGTATTGTCTTTAATCCCTCTATATTATAATTTATAACTAGTAGTTCATCCTTAATTATCGGCACTATCTTATGTTCCCCCTCCCACTTTAAATAATAATATTAATTATTATTATTATTATTATTATTATTATTACACATGTATATAGAACATATATTATGAAAGTTATATTTCTACGAAATGAAAATAATTAATCTTAATTTTATATTAAATTAAAATATTTATTTAAAATATAAAAAAAAAAACAAAATATCTATCATAATATTAATAATTATGACAACATTAGTGTGATAGTAATAATAGTGATAATAACTCCAATTATAACAAATGCATTTATAATAACGAATTATTTTGTAATTCATTTTGTCTAATGAATTGATTTTCTTTTTTTTGAAGTCTGGAGTACATGAAATAATTTATCCTTGAATTTAGAGAATTGTGACTTGATTTTTCAAATATTTGTAGTTTAGCATTACCACACAAACTTATTGGTTTGTTAAGTAAATCCAAGCATCCAACATGAAATTACTCATTTATACCAAAAAAAATAAAAAAAAATTGTTACGGTCATGAGACTTCGATTTTGTTTCTTTGACTGTTTGACATACATAAACAGGTTGCAGCTTTGGCTCCAAATATTCCAGCACTGTACGAGCTTCATTTTGGTGTTCCAATGGCAGGAGCTGTTTTTTCTGCGCTCAATACTCAATTGGATACAACATCATTGGCACTAATATTGGAACAATTAGAGCCATGCAAAATCATGTTTGTGGACTACCACTTAATTGATTCTGCCCTCAAAGCGTCTGAAATAATGTCCCACAGAAAATGCAAGCCACCCCTCATTGTCCTAATACCAGAATATGACCAAGAATCATCTTTCTTAGTGAAGGATATCCCAAAAGGTATCTTAAACTACGACGAAGTTCTTGCAATGGGACAAAAAGATTTTGAGGCTTTAAAACCAAGCAATGAATGCAATCCCATATCAGTGAACTACACATCAGGCTCCACAGGGAGTCTTCCTAAAGGAGTTGTGTATAGTCATAGAGGTGCCTATCTCAATTCACTAGGAAACATTTCTCGTTTTGAGATGAAACAAATGCCAGTGTTCCTATGGACAGTTGACATGTTTCGTTGCAATGGATGGTGCTTCACTTGGGCAATTTCTGCTCTTGGTGGCACCAATATTTGCCTAAGGAGTGTCTCAGCAAAAGGGATATATGATGCAATTCACCTTCATAGGGTGACTCATTTTTGTGGTTCACCTACCCTTTTGGACATGATTGCTGATGCACCGCCTAGTGATCATAGGCCTCTGCCACATAGGGTGAGTGTCACAGTTGCTGGTGTGCTACCACCGTTTCATGTTCTTAACAAGGTGTCACAACTTGGATTTGATGTGAACATTGGATATGGCATGACAGAGACTTTAGGTCCGTTCATTGTAAGACCATGGAAAGCCAATTCAGATGGTGAATGTACAAAGTTGAATTTTGTTGTCTCAGATGTTGTTGATGTGAAGGATCCAGAGAGTAATGAAAGTACTCCTCATGATGGGAAAACCATCGGTGAAATTATGTTCAAAGGGGATGCTTTGATGCTGGGTTACCTTAAGAATTCACATGCAACTGAAAAGGCTTTTAGAGGTGGTTGGTATAGGACTGGTGACCTTGGTGTTAGACAAACCAATGGTTCTATAACAGTGAAGGACAGAGCAAAGGATATTATCTATTCTAAGGGAGAGGCTGTGAGCTCACTAGAGGTGGAAGCAGTGTTATTGAATCATCCAAAGGTTTTGAAAGTTGCTGTTGTGGGGAAGTGTGATCAGTGCTTGGTGGAATCACCATGTGCTATTGTGAAATTGAGGGATGGATGTAGTGCTAGTGTTGAAGATATCACCAAGTTCTGTGAAGATCATTTGGCTACTCACATGGTTCCTAGGAGTGTGGTATTTGGAGATTTGCCTGTTAATTCAACTGGGAAGGTTCAGAAATTTCGTATCAGGGAGAAGATAAAAAACAATGAGTGGTGTGACTCAATGAATTAGGGTGTGCTTTGTAGGATTATGAATAGAGGCAAATGAAAATTGACTAATGTAATAATCTTGAACTCATTTGTTGCTTTGAACTACGTTGCAAATTTTCTTTCTAATAAATCTTTAGGAGTTCAAAAATTGCCTGATTCTAATGTAACGAAAGAGACACAACATTTTATCCGGATCATATACTCTTAACTTTGAAGTGTTTTGATTTTAGTGTAATTGTTTTTAATTTAAAACACCATAATTGATTGTCTGTTAGACCTTACAAACAAAATAACTTCGAATAGTTGTTTTATATTTAAGAAAAATAAATGCTAACAGTTTTTTTAGCATATTATTTGTTACATAAAATTTGGGTATATTTTATTGAAAAGTATGCAAGTCATTTTTTTTTACTAACTTGTGGAATAGTTAAAGTGAATATCCTGGTTAAAAGGGAATTTTCATTTCCAATAAAAACAATTTAGGACATATTTTGCAATATTTGTTATTTTATTTATTGTTGGAGATCTTAGTTATCAAAATAATGTGAACCACTAGGACCAGCCTAGTGATAAAAAATTGGAATAATATGTATAAGATTTTAAATTCAAACATTGTTATTTTAATTTTTCCAACTCAAAAAATTATGATAAAAATAATATATAAGTGAAAGAAATTAGCACCACATAAGTTAATTTTTAGGGTTGAAATAGATTATTATAAGGTGATATCAAAACCTATATAATTGTAATAATTTACAATCAAAATAGTTATATAGATGAAAGGTGTAACTTGCATCATATATGGAAGCTATTGGAGTATTATAACATTCTTTTAACACATCTTTTTATTGGTTAAAAATTTATTAAAAATTACAAAATTATTTATTAAATAAGATTTGAATTCACAAAATAGTTTTTCAATAAATTTCAACCGATAAAAAAAAGTATGATTTAAAAGAATGCGTTGGAGGAGAAAATATTAATTTAGTTCGAAGACTATCATAGTCCAACTAATTTTATATAACACTTAATTAAATATTCTTAATTAATTTTATAAATTAAAATATCTTAAGAAAGTCAATTAGGAGTCTAACTTAACATTATAAAATCATCTTGTAAATATTTTTTACTTATATACTATATTCTGACCATACCATTAGTCGATATGAAATTTTCAAGCCCCTCACGTTAATGATTAGATATCTCGAGTATGAAGTTTGCAAGATTGAAAATTTGTAAATAGTCTAATAACGATAATGAGTAACTTGATAAGCCCAACACAATCATTAAAATAGGTTCTAATATCATTTTAGAATGTAGGTTTATATCTAACTCAATCTTACAAAGTTAATCTGTAATTTAAAATAGATTATTCTCCACTTTTATATATTATTATGATCTTATCATTAGTCTATGTGAAATCTCTGACATAATTCTTCATGTCGAGAATTAAACTCCTTAACCATAAAATTTGCATAACTAAATGTATATGGTCCGATAACAAATAACACAACAAGTCTAATAATAATTAATAATCACTAAAATAACATATAAATACTTGATATAATTTAAAACTACCTAATAATTTCTCATTAGGCATGAAAACGGTTGGGATGGTTTCGGTAGGATTGGGATGCCACTTATATTGCTCTGCTGTTAGGGAGATCTCCTAGGCGAATGCGTGATGACGCATTAGATGATTGATATATATTGATATCTGGCATGAGTTGCATTTATTGCATGATTGTATTATGATGATATGTATAATGTTTGACTTCATGATTGATAAGTTGATGATTGAATGAGATGGAAGTCCCTTGGGACATGATTGGATGAATGTGTAGTATAGATTACTATTCTATACTTGTATGATTATTTATTGAACTCTATCTTACCCTTCTGTTTCCATGTGGATGAACTGCGATGATTATACTGTGTATGGGAGCAAGTCAGGGTTAGGTTGGAGCTGGTTGTTGTGATCGCGCGAGACTTGAAGTTTTGTCCTTGGATAACTGTTTTGTCTATACTTGACCGACACTAGGGTAATATTATTTTGGATAACTATATATACATAGTACTATATTTCATATATATATAAATATTTGATTTCTTTTATTACTTTCTTTATATGTATATTTTGTTATCTAACTTAATATATTTTGTCTTAGATAATTAGTATTGTAACACGATTCTTCTAAATATAAGGACGATGGCACGTCATTACACTTTTAATAAAATATTCTCTCTCATCCATATTTTATTTCATAAATAAGACTTGAATATAAAATTTTATTTATAAAAGCTGAATCAGATACTGTAATATTCCAAATTTGAGATACAATATTCTTAATTTAATCTAAGCTTATGGAGCGAAAAGTAGAAGAAGCCATAGCTTCCTTTTTCATATCTCAGTAAAAAGGTTGGCGTGAGTGACGAGTGACTCTTGTTGTGGTTGCGGTTCAAACTCGTGTATGTAGAAAGTTTGAACTAAGAGGAAAAATTCACCTGTCTGCAAAACTTCTAAGAGAAATTAGTACCTGTGTTTTTGATGAGGATACTCTTTAGTAATGAAAAAAAATATATGTATATGAGTGAAAGGGTGCTAATATTATGTGCCAATGATGAGTGTTGTGTTGTTTAGTAATACCAAGGCATGTATGTATGTGTGTGGTTTTCCGATATTGTGGGTTTGTGATTATATATAATTGTGGTTTATGGATGTTGTTGTGAGGTCATGTCATGTGTTAAATGGAAACCCTATCTGCTATGTTACATAGGGAGTAAGGTGGACCTCCCAAATTGGCTCTGCTGTCTTTTTGATCTCACCGTCCCTCATGCTGCGTCACTCAACTTCCATACAAAATCATGCACCCCATGGCCCATGCACAGTAGTGGCATGTAGCAGCCTCTAGTTAGGGAGAAATTATTAAATAATATGAGATTATGCATGTTTATAGTTGCATCAATCTTTATATGATATATGAACCACGGTATCGGCTTAATCGCTATGCTGTGATCAACTACATTCAACTAAGTTTGTGATTCAATCATATCATTTATTTTGTTCTTTTAGTCTAAAGATTGAAGTAAAAATATTGTGTTGAAAAAAAGAAATTTACATTTGCATTTTTTTTTGTTTTCATTCCTATTATATATATATATAATGTCCAAGAATCTTACAGGGAAATCTAGCAACTCATCAAAGCCATTTGTGGTTGTGGTGATGAGATAATGCTTGTTGAGTGAGTGGCAGTTTCAAAAGATCTTCTATGCATTTGTATAACTCTGCAAGACCTGAAAGACCAAAGAGAATTCTCTCCACCTCAGAGGAAGAAAATGCTTCCCATGTTTTGAGCTTGTTCAGCTCCTCCTCTATTGGAACTGTGCTTGGATGTAATCTTGTTGGCAAGCTTATGGAGCGAAAAGTAGAAGAAGCCATAGCTTCCTTTTTCATATCTCAGTAAAAAGGTTGGCGTGAGTGACGAGTGACTCTTGTTGTGGTTGCGGTTCAAACTCGTGTATGTAGAAAGTTTGAACTAAGAGGAAAAATTCACCTGTCTGCAAAACTTCTAAGAGAAATTAGTACCTGTGTTTTTGATGAGGATACTCTTTAGTAATGAAAAAAAATATATGTATATGAGTGAAAGGGTGCTAATATTATGTGCCAATGATGAGTGTTGTGTTGTTTAGTAATACCAAGGCATGTATGTATGTGTGTGGTTTTCCGATATTGTGGGTTTGTGATTATATATAATTGTGGTTTATGGATGTTGTTGTGAGGTCATGTCATGTGTTAAATGGAAACCCTATCTGCTATGTTACATAGGGAGTAAGGTGGACCTCCCAAATTGGCTCTGCTGTCTTTTTGATCTCACCGTCCCTCATGCTGCGTCACTCAACTTCCATACAAAATCATGCACCCCATGGCCCATGCACAGTAGTGGCATGATATAATTATTATTATATAAATGGGGCGTTAGAATCAGGCGTTACAGATACATTTGAATCAATATTTCTTTATATGAATGTAATATTTTAGAGATTGTAGTTTACATTATAAGCTTAAATATATGTTATGTCACTATTAAATAGTTAGTGATTTAATATCATTTTGAAAAAAGTTAAATTTGATGATAAAATTTATATATGTTATAATCCTTGTAAGTATTAGATAAGTTCACTTTTTACTTTGTAAATTTAATTTTTTTTGTGAAGCAATCCAAAAAGATTACTCCCTTTAGTTTGAAGATATTTTTTTGTCTAGTTACTCGGTCAAAACATTTTTTTGTAAATAAATGACAGAAAATTCACCTACTATCGAATATGTCACTATAAATTCATATAAAACATCATACTAAATTTAATTAATGTTATCTAACTAATTCAATTTGACTTTATTAGTAATTCTATAAGTGGTCTTAAGAGATTAAATCAAACTTTTTTGAAATTATAAAATTAAAAAATTTAATTTTAAATTGAAGAGATAAAAATAAATTTATCTTAAATTTGAGAGATTAAAAATATTTAAAAGTAATTATCATTTATTTATAAAATTTAAATATTATTATCAAGTACATAAATTAATTAAATTTAATGTGAGATTATTTTAATTTATCAATTATTTTGATTTTGAATATTGGATATAATTATATTAAATAGAAGAAGGATAATTTTGTAAGTATAATAATCTTATTTAACTCAAATAAAATTATCTGATTCAAATTTATAATTTTGCATATATTATCTCAACCTCTTATTATTAGGTCAATTTTAAACACAAAAGTATTTGGTTTAAAAAATATAAATAAAATAAAAATAAATTAATAAAATATAAGAAAAAAAATATAATGAAAATAATCTGTAGGTGCCACAGTTTTTGTTTCTCTCTTATATAATTAAGCACACTCATATTTTGAATTTCACATTTGTCTTTTTCTTTTTGTTTCCAATTATTTCCTTCACCAGACAAAGTTAAGTCTCGCATGCCCCCAATAAATAAGGTAATAAATTTTACGTACACTGTCAGTGTTGATTTGAAGGCTTATTAATTCGGTGAATTAGGTAAATATTTTGGGACCTTGAGGGTAAAAGATTAAGAAATAGGGAATAAAATTTAAATTGTGTTTAGTTAACCTGAAATGG